TTGTTCCTAACACTGCACTCTTCTGGACAGAGAGCTCTGATGTTGTTTCTGGGATCGGTTGGAGCCATTCTCCCAGCTTAGGAGTCACAGCCCTAAGTGTGCCTACCACCACTGGGACCACTTTGGCCTTTACTTTCCAAATCCTCTCTAGTTCCTCCTTCAGGCCCTGGTACTTCTGCAGCTTCTCATACTCCATCTTCCTGATGTTGCTGTCACTTGGAACTGCTACATCTATCGCCACGGCTGTCTTCTCATCCTTGTCTATTACCACAGTGTCTGGTTGATTGGCCAGTGCCTATCTGACTGTCTGGATCTTGAAGGCCCACAGGATCTTATCCCTATTATTCTCCACAACCTTCTGTAGAATCTCCCATTTGGACTTTGGAGGTCTAGCCCATACACTGTGCAGATGTTCCTGTACACAATGCCAGCTACTGGGCTGTGCTGTTCAGTGTATGCTGTTCCTGCCTGCATCTTACACCCTGCCATTATGTGTTGGACTATCTCTGAGGCCTCTTTGCACAGCCTGCAGCCTTGGATACTGTCTAGAGTGGTAGATCCCTGCTTCTATGGATCTGGTGCTGAGTGCCTGTTCTTGTGCTGCTATGATCAGTGCATCAATGCTGTCTTTTAGTTCAGCCCTTTCCAGCCACTGGTAAGATTTCCCAATGTCAGCCACCTCAGCTATCTGTCAATGGTACTTCCCATGCAGGGGCTTGTCTTGCCATGGCACTTTCTCTCCTTGAACCTCTTCCCATGTGTGCTGCTGCCTCAGACATTCTCTCAGCTGGTCATCTTTGGATACCAACTTACTGATGTACTTCTTGATGTTTCTTCCAGGACAGTGGCTTTGACACTCACTAGCCTGCCTGCTGTCTTTCCAGCTGTTGTTCAGTCTCTGAGTATTGGACTTGGGATGGAAACCTCCATACATTGTGAGGCACTTTCGGGTCTTCACATTGGCAGAGTCCACATCCTTCTTTGGCCAGCTCACTATGCCAGCAGGGTATCTGATGACTGGCAGAGTGTACATGTTGATAGTGTGGATCTTGTTCTTCCCATTGAGCTGGCTGTCAGCACCCATATTATCCTTTGGTGGTACTTGGATATTGCTGCCTTCCTTGCTTCTTCATTATGGTTTCCATATGACTGTGGGATAACAAGGTTCTTGTAGCTGGTCTGTATGTCTGCTATGTGGCCTGCTGGTAGTTCCTCTTAATTACCTCTGTCTTAATTACCTTACCTCTCTTTACCACCATCCAGCCACACTTCTCTAGTCGGAATGACATCCCAACGTCCTCACTGTAGATCCATGTCAGGTGGATGAGTGAGCCAATGTCTCATTCATCACTCTTAGCATACAGTTTTATGTTATCCATGTAGAGGAGGTAGCTGATGGTAGTTTTACTCTTGAACTTGTATTCATACCCAGTCCTTGTGATTATCTGTCTGAGGGGGTTTGAGCTTATGTACAACAGCAGTGGGGACACTGCATCACCTTTGTATATGCCACATTTGATGACCACTTGTGCGAGCTGTCTTGAGTTGACTTCCAGTGTTGTCTTCCACAGTCCCATTGAGTTCTTGAGGAAAGTCCTTGGTGTCCTGTTGACTTTGCATAGCACCAGGCATTCACAGATCCATGTATCTAGCACTGAATCATAAGCTGTCCTGTAGTCAATCCAGACTATACTCAGATTGGCCCATCTAGATCTTGAGTCTTGGGTGACTGCTCTATCTATAAGCAACTGGTATTTTGAGCCTCTGGTGTTATTCTCAATACCTTTCTGAGTTGTGCTCATGTACTGGCCCATCTGGTCCTGTAGTTTGGTGGCTATGATGCCTAATAGGGAGTAGGGAGGCAGGTTATTAGCCAGTAGTTGGACAGTGCTGTTCCCTTGTGTGGATCTTTCATGATCAGCACTCCCCTTCCTTGTGTTAGCCAGTCTGGGTGGGAGCCTGCTGCTAGCAGCTGGTTCACCTGTGCTGCTAGGTGTTCATGCACTGCTCTTATTTTTTTTAGCCAGTAGGTGTGCATCATGTCCAGGCCAGGTGCTGTCCAACTCTTCAAGTTCTTGATCCTCTGCTGGACATTTGCTACTGTGTTAGTGACTGGTTCCTGTTCTAGGAGATTGTTGTGGTCTGCTTTCAGGTCCTGCAGCCACTTTACACTAGTATTATGTATTTTCTCTTTCTTTCCATGTGTTCTTCCAGTACTGTTCAGCTTCTGCTGTTGGTGGCTCTTCTGTTACTATGTTGGGAGTATACCTTGGATGATTCTCTGGAGAAGAAGATATTTATCTTCTTGGCCTCTGGTTCTCTAGTGTATCTCCTTAATTTGTCAGCCATTCTGTAAGACTTTGCTCAGCAGTCTCTAGGGCTTCAGATGGAGTTAGGCCCTTGTATTTTTTCAGTAGCCAACTTTTATCCTTAATGTCCACACCCTTCTGTAGTTCCACCAGCTGGCTAATGTCTCTCCGAGTTACCTTGATCAATTTCATTTTTGGGGGTAGGGGGTGGGGGATATGTGCTGCTGTTCTTCTTGGTCATGTAGCCAAGCATCTCCAGGATTACACTGGCTACAGTGTATACCAGTTTATTGGTTTTAGTTATGGTGGTAGTAGGAATTGTCTGGAGGGCTCTATTGGCATCTTCTAGCATACTATCTAATGGTCCTTCTCCACTGAGCCTTGGCAATCAGTCTCAAGGGTAGACTAGCTAGTTTATCCATGATCTAATATCATCTGCTTGCTCTGTAATGGAGGGGGTGGCAATGACATTCCATCTTCAGGTGTTGGCTGCACATCCAATTGTTCTTCTGGGTCTTCTTGAGTCCAGGGTGTAATATGGAGTTGGTCTATTTCAAGTTGTGAGAGTAGCTTCCTTGTCACTATGTTGAAGTGTTGGTAACTACTGTAGCTGTTTCTCAGTGTGGATGTAGGTCTTCTGTCCATTCATAATTCCCTCATATGTTTTGTATATCCCCTCCTGTTAGGTCTACTGTTATGGTAGCACTCCATCAATTCTAGATTCTCTTGTCTTGTCCTGTATCATTTGTTCCAGTTGCCCACATCATCAGATTGCACTTGTTCCCCAAAATCTGGCACAGTCCTTGTTAACCCGGACAACACCCAAGCCGGCATGACTCTCTTAGTTCGTGTCACTCTAATATCCCAGGTAGGCAGGTGAAGCATTAGGGGGGTTTTGCCCAAGGTCCTCTACGTGTAATATAGGTA